CCGAGACCCGAAACCAAAGCGTGTGCGAACACCCCTGGCACAGGGCCTGGCACTTGCGTTGAAAGGGCTTTAGGACTGGGAACCGCACGAGGCCGGGAGCTGAGTGGGGCAGGTCACTCGGCCACTGTGGGAATCGGGTGTCAAGGGACGCTCGGCGTGTGTGTGGGGGCGGGTAGGGGACAGCGTCGGAGGGAAGGAGGGGTGTGGTGCCCGAGGACTCCGCTCCGGCCCACGCTGGGGCTAGGGTGAGGTCCGGAACTGCGAACCTGGCCGATGCCCGCTCCTGCTCTCCCCCCTCCGCTTCCTTCTTCCCCTCCTCCCCCAGCTGCAGGGGCGCGGGCTGCCGCGGGCGGAGCTCCCTGGGCGGTGAAGCGCGAGCTCCAATTACGCAGGGACTCTCGGGGCCGCGTCAGCTCCGGCCGCCCCCAGCCCGAGCCGCGCCAGGGGGGAGACGCGGGCCGGGTCTTGCGGGCCCGGGGGCGGTGGGCAGCCGCGAGGGCTGGAGTGCGGAGACAGCGGCCTGCGATGGAAGGCTCACCTAGGCCCTCACCACTCCCTGAGTGGGGACGCCATGCAAATGGCATTCACCAGCTCCTTGGTTCTTCCCCACTAATAGGGAGCTCACTACCCATTACTACCCTGGAAGTTCTTAACACTCCCTTATTTATTCACTAAACAAATGTTTACCGAGCATCTACTATGTGGCAGAGACTGGGCACTCCTTTAGATAATAACGGATTTGCCATGACGAAACCAAGTCCCAAGCCTCTTGGTTAATGTTCTAGGATTTTGTTGTTGTTGTTGTTGTTTTTTGAGCGTATGCATCACTTTTCTCTGGAAGCCTTCCTACCTGCTGAGTTAAGCCCTAAATCAGAGAGGGTGGAGCCTCTTCTGGTTTGAACTTGACCGAAGTATTTGGAGGTGACTAATACACCAGCGCCTAGTGAAAGCTGACTTCAGGACTTTGAAAACCTCCCCAGCTACCACCTCTATTCTCTGGAGGCAAGTAGGGAGGGGGGGCTGGCTCCCCCGAGGCTGGGTGGTCCAGGTGAAATCTGGCTCCTGCCCCTGGCCCAGCCCCTAGAGCAGGCGTCAGGGACAGAACACATGTGGTACAAGAAGCCAGGGCTTCAGAAGCTGCCTCTCTCTAAGATTAAGCCCCAGGGTCCAAAGGTCTGGGGTCCCCACCCACAAAGAAGGACACGGGCATATGCTTCAACACAGGTGGTGATTGGAATCTGTGGGGAGGAACAGCTGCATATTCCAGCCTTAAGCCAAGGGCAGATGGCCTGTTACTGCCAGACTTCCTGCAGGGGTTGGGGGAAGGAAACTTCCTCTCCTGGCCTGGGGAGCAGCCCACCCACAGAGGGAAATATCTGTGGCCCTGACCTCCTATGTTCACCCTTGTCCTTCCTTCCAGCTAGAATTCTCCCCTCTCTTCGCAAAGCTGGTTCATTCTCATCCTCCAAGTCTTTGCTCAGATGTCACCTTCCTTGTCCACCCCATCTAAAAGTGGCCCCCTTCTCTGGTTCCCTTTACCCCTCCACCTTACTCTCTTCAGAACACTTATACTGCTGCTCTTCACTGGGGTCATCTCCTGACTCCCCCCACTAGAAGGAACATAAGTTCCAAGAAAGCTTGGCCTTGCCTTTTCTCTTGCCTTATTTTCATTAGCTATGACTTGCATAGAGGGCTTTTGTTGAATAAATGAAGTTCTCTCCCAGGATTAAAGAATTGAAAGCTAGAAGTCAAGACAACCAGGTCCTGCTCTGCTACTAATTAAAAAAAAAAAAAA